GGAAGCCACTATTCCATCAGTCTGTATATGTTGCTGTATTTTGTTACTGCTATAGAAGGATACTGTAAATACTTCAGCTGAATATCTGATTAATGTCTCTTCAAAAAGAATGGCAGAGCTGTAAGAAGAGAGTTTATTTATCCCTCTTTCACCATGATGGGTATCTGATTTTTCCCAAATGTCAGTACTTGCAAAGGTGCCAATCCAGACAAAAATGGAAACTGCCTGCAGAGCCAGGCAGCAGCTGCCTCTTCTTCCTCACGGGGGCTCAGACCTAGCCCACCACCCACACCCCAGGCAGTGACCCCGGTCAGGGTTTCCACACTGAAGCTTCTACAGGGAAATGTCCCCTGGGAAAATGGCATCTCTTTGCCAGGCTCTTATGCACCCATCCTTCTCAGGTTCTTGCCAGTCAAGCCAACCCTAGCCAGTCACGCCTCTGTCTCCCCTGTTGGCCTCACTATATTCCCAGCTCCCCAGCCTGTTTGGGCGGTTCCACTGGCTCCCTTCAGCTTTCCTTTGCCCTCCCCTTATTGCCTCTGGGGTCACTTTCCATCTCTGTCCCAAGAGACACCAGAGATAGTCCATTCTGCCTTCCCTATCACTATCCACACCTGCCCAGGAAACCACAAGTGTCTCCCTTTGCCTTGGTTCTCCCTCTGGGAACAGGTGTGCTTATCCCCCACCTGCAGAATTGTGCCTGTTCCCTTTAGTTTTCCAGTCTCCTTCTCATGGCTCAGACCGAATAGGATGCCAGGTATGACTTCGTCCTTCCCTTACCCAGGCCAAGATTTTCTCTGGGCACCCTCCAGTTTGTGCAGGCCTGTAGCCCCGGCATGTATTACTCCTTCGTCTTCACAACAGTGCAAAGAAGACAGTAGATTAGATATCTAATGCTATCAGATTCTTATGAATACCTTATAGGTATCGTATAGAAGATACCATGTCATCAGATTCTTTTCATAGCTAAGGAGACTGAAACTTGGAGTGACTAAGTTATAATAATAATAATACCACATGTTTCTTCAGTGCTTTAGCTCACTCAGTCTCCCCCTCTCCAATAATTCTGTGTGCTAGCCAGCACTAGCCCTATTCTGTGGATGAAGAGGCAGCGGGAGAGAGGGAGGTGGGGGGAAGGGAGAAAAGGGGGAGGCAGAGGGGAGGTTGTATGACGTGAACAAGGTCACACGTCCACTAAGTGGTAGAAGTGGGACCTGGACTCAGGCTGCCCACCCCACACTGTGTGTGCCCTTCCTGTCGCCCCCACCCTCACCCGGGGCAGTGAGCAAGTGCTCCCGGAGGGCAGGGGCCAGGTGGTGGGCGTGGGTCCCAGAGTCACGTCCCCTGTAGGCATCCTTGGATCTGACAGCAGCACATGCACTTCCAGCTGGTTTGGTCCCTGTGCCACTGTGTGAGAGCAGAAGTGATGGTAAATATTTAATTGTGCTTCCACCATAACTTTCTTCCAGAACTCTCAATATGCTTTATAAATGCAAATGAGCGCTCTCTTCCTCTCCAGGGAGATGTAAACCTCCTCAAATCACTTTTACTCAGCCCCCACCAGAATGTAGTGCCATCATCAGGAGCGCTCAGTGCCAGAAAAGAAACTGCCCTTAATCATATCGAGTGCATGGTTTACGGCGTTGTGGTCTTCTGTCTCCAAGGTGGGCAGGATGTAAAGAAATGGATTCCTCTTGCTGCAGATTCTGTCCAGTATGGTGGATGGAAAACATTATTTGGAAGCAGATTAATTACAGCCCTAAGCAGGTGACTATGGCCATTATGAAGTCTTAGACCATATTTATAGGGTTAACAGAACAAAGAAGTCCTTAGAAGATTTAGGAGTAAAGGCTGATTCTTATTTTTGATGCTGAACTCTGTTTCCCTCGCAGTCAGCGTCCTGTGTCTGCTCACTGCTCCTTCAACATGATCCTGTTGTTGGGTTGGGGGATGCATTATTCTGGGCGTTTTTGTGGCTCTGTCTTTATGAGCAAGGACCCCACTCCCGCCCCAGCTGGAGCTTTAGCAGAGCCCCTTGGAAGCGCAGGTCTGCCTAGTGGACCATGCACCAAGGTTTGAGGCTATGGGGTCCTGAGGAGCTGTGTGACTTTGCAGAAAGCACTGCATCTTTCTGTGCGCTGGTTCCCAGCTCTGCCACGTGGGTTCAGTTGCCCCTGCTTCAGGCCCACCTGGCAGAGGCATTTTAATAATCATGGAGATGAGTTTCTGCAGAGCCTCGTGGAGTGTCTTCTGAGAAGTGTATTATGTAAATTTGGTGTGTCATTATGATCGTTATTAGTGCCGTGAAGTGGAGATGAGGGCGGAGGGAGGCTTGCTCCATGCGGGGACAGGCCTCCCCAGCTGTCAGAAGAATTGGGGGAGAAAACAAACTCCAGAAGCCTGCTCTCGCACTTGTGTTCCTTCAGATAGGCACAGGGTATGACTCTTAGTCTGACTCAAATTCAAATTGGGTGAGAAAATGCAGCTTGCTTTATCTACTTTAACTCCTGGCAGTTTCCAGTTTGAGCCCCGTTCCACAGGTACGTAGTGTTCAGTTGCGGAGGGAGGTGCTCCCTGGCTCTGTTGGCTCCTGTCCACACAGGTACCCACTGAGATGCCCCAGACCCCACCCGACCCTGGCTTATAGCCTGTTCAGGTCACCCCTGGGTGGTCTGCGTCCCCTTCCTTAGACCCATCAGGCCCTCAGGCTCCTGGGCTCCCTTAACTGCCATGTCAGCCTCACTGCCCTGGGATGCTGCATGTCCAAGGCCCTGTGTTCAGGACAGATGCCCACCATTTCTCCTTGGGGCAGCAGCTCTCTGGGATTGAGCACTGGGCCATGAGAGCATAGGGAGCCACTTTTCTCAGCACAGCTCCTCGCTAATCACTTCTGTTTTCATTCTCTCAGTCCTGCCCATAGGCAGTCCTTCCCAAACCTCTGGTTTATACCAGAAGTCTTTCTGATTCGCAGTGGGCCCAAGATTTTGTAACTGTCCATTCTGCATTCACATCTCCTCCCTGCAGCAGTGAACATAGGATAGCTGCTCACACAGTGGGAGGGGGCTGTGGGGGACACAGAGGAGAAAAAAAAGCCACCTCTTTTTGCTGAGCACCTACTCAGCTAAGATGTGCTGTGCCTGTTCCTTTGATACATACCCTGGGGAATTCTGGGCAGTAAGTCACCTCCATCAGCCTATATGGCACGACTGTGTAAATTTTAAAAGGTGTTCCTCTGTAGCAGTTGGATATCCACTTGAAAAAAAAGTTCATTGATCCATACCTTCCACCTTATACAAAAATTAACTCAAAATGAATTATAAACCCAAGTAAGAGAAAATCTTTGTGACCTTGGGTTAGGCAGAGATTTCTCAGATGCAACACTAAACCACAAAAGAAAAAATTGATAAGATGGATTTCATCAAATTAAAAACTTCTGCTTTTTGAAAGACACTGTTAAGAAAATGAGACTATAATTCACAGAGGAGAAAATATGTGCACAGGACTTATATTTAGAATATATAAAGAACTCACAAACTCAATAAGAAAATAAACAACCCAATTTTAAAATTGCATTTAAAAATTTGAATAGACCCTTCACCAAAGAAGATATATGGATGGCAAATAAACATGTGACAAATTGTTCAACATCATTCAGCAATAAGAAATGAAAATTAGGACCATAATGGTATATCATTACACACCTATTAAAATGGCTAAAATTAGAAACAACTGACCTTGCCAACTGTCAGTGAAAATGTGTAGGAACTGGAACATTCATACTCCCATGGAATAGGCCCAAACTGAAAGCAATAGGTGAACGGGTAAACAAATGGTGGTATGTCACTCAGCAACAGAAAAGAATAACTGTTGGTATATATAAGAACGTGGATAAGTCTTAAAACAACTAAGCTGAGTGAAAAAGAAGCCAGATTTAAAAGAAAAAGTATATACTATATTCCATTTGTACAAAATTTGAGAAAATGCCATTTACTCTATAGTGACAGGAAGCAGATCAGTCATTGCCTGGGACAGAGACAGGGTGAGTTGGGAGCAGGAGGGAGGGAAGGATTACAAAGGGACTAAGGAGACTTTCCAGGAGTGATGAGTATATTTATTATCTTGATTGTGGTGATGGTTTCATGGATGTAAATATATACTAAACTGACCAGGTTGTATACTTTAAATATGTGCAATTTACCCCTGATGGCTCCCAGGAGTTCACGGCAGAGGTTGGCATTTGTCTTTCCTTCCTGAGGCCGGGGAGGGGGGATTGGTCACCAGGGAGCTGGCTGCTGCATCACCCTCCCACATCACTGCAGGCACAGCAGGCTGCTGTGGTGTGAGATGTGCGTTGTGGTCCGGGTGAAGTCTTTGCCAAAGCTGCTTGAGACCTTTGGCAAAGTCTTGGGGAAAGAGGTGAGTGTGTGTCTGGGCCCAGGGGCAGAGGGACGTGTAGGAGGGTGCACGAGTTGATGGGAAGTTACCCTAAGGTGTCTACACAGAACCCAGATGTGGAGACAGAGGAGAGTGTGTAAGGAGGAAGGAGGGCAGACAGAGATCGTAGAAGCAGCCCAGTGGGGAGGAGAGGGCCAAAAGAGATGGCCCAAGAAGGCCTGAAGAAGGAATTAAATTTGGTCACATGGTCCACATGGCCTTGGAAGAGCCTCTGGGTCAAATAATCTGGGATGAAGCTGGATCTTGGGGGTAAATGGGTGGTGGGCAGAAGACTTCGCCCCACACAGGAGGCTCAGGGTCACTAGGGAGGGAGCACTGGATATGGCTTCAGGAGACCTGGGGTCTGTGTCCAGCTCTGCCGTGAGCAGCATGATCTCAGCAGCCTTTTGCTCTCTGAGCCTTGGGCTTCACAGGGGCGCCTGGGCTTGAAGATGCCCAAAGACCCTTCTAGCGCTGACACTTACCATGGTAAATAACTTTGTGAACATAAGGGCCACTGTTTAGCAATCTTCTGACTCATCGATTGTTTTCATTTTGATCTGCAGAAACGTTAATGGACACCAGGACGGCTACTGCAGAGCTGGGCTGGACAGCCAATCCTGCCTCGGGGGTGAGTGTCAAAGCATCCGCCCTGCAATCCTGCTCTGAGCTCCTGGGCCCATAGGATGCCCGGGAGAGAGGAGCCGGCACAGAGCGGTGCTGTGAGGAGTGGATACAGGTGTGGATGGCTGTGTCCATCGCTCATCCATGGGGAGGCAGCACCTGGGGTCTCAGACCTGAGCTACTGCCTCGTGTGGTGACGTAGGACATCTCTTGTCACGGTCTTCCCAGAGAGCTGGCTGCCGGGCAACTAGGGCCACAACTGTGTGAGACAGGGGCACTCAGGGTAGTGGCACTGGGGCAGAACAGTGATCTGCAGTACCCACAGGGCTGCAGCAAGGGCTAGGGCAGGAGGGAGGAGCTGGAGTTCAGGAGGGCCGAGGCCCTCTTTCCCCTGGAGCTTGCCTTAGAAAGACATTCTTGACTCATTTGTTCAGTGTCCATGCACTTGGCCAGACCTATAGCTATAAAGATGGGACGGCCTTGAGCAGCTCATGACCTCCTGTGGGGATCAACATGTTTATGGATAGGCTGGGGTGTATCTCCCCTTTATGGCCCTGGAGAGATCAATAGGCAGGTGTGGGCTCAGAGCTCGGAGTGAGAAACCACAGAGGGAGACAAGATGCCTTAATAGGGAAGGTGCAAGCAAGCTGGGTTTTGGAGAGTGAGTAGGAGTTTGGCAGTTGATGAAGGGAGAGTCTGAAAAGATGTTCTAAGGAGGAGGAGTGGCTGGTTCATGGGGATGAGGTCATGAAAAGACATACGAGGGAAGAGTTTGTGTGTCTGGAACATGGCAGGGTGTGGATACTGCTGAGATAGGGCCGGGGGTGAGTTGGAAGGAGGCACGGTGATGACAGGTTATGACTGCCATGCAGAGCAGGGAACACGGATTTTATCCTGTAGGTAATGCAGAGACCATGGGCAGGAAAAGAAATGGTCATACCTGCTGACAGGAGTTTGGAGAACAGTTGAGAGCAAAGCATCAAGGGGCTCTTTTAGCTGTCTTGGATGTGTCAGAAGTTTCAGGTTAAAATGAGATATAGTCAGGGGCTAGTTTGAGAGAAGTTAAGGAAGAAGAACTGGCAATGGCTGGACTGTGGAAGGAGGGAGAGGAAGAGAGAGGAGGTGGATGCAGTTTCATGTTTCTGGCTTGAGCAATTAGCTAACTTCAGGGCTTAATTATGAAGGAAAAAGACAGGAGGAGGAGGGCATGGGCTTTTCATTGCTATCCAGGGGTGACATCAGGCTGAGGCAGGGTGGCCCTGACCCCTTCACCTGCCCAGGCCTCCTTTCTCCATCTCATCCTAGTAACCTCTGCACCCTGCGGGGCATCTCCAGCATAGCCCATCATAGCAGTCTCAACAGGCCTTCGTTCTGCCATAGGGACAAGACCAAGTGGCATTCCCCAAAGCAGGGCACAGGGATGGGGCAGAGCCTGCCCACTCGGAGCCAGCCCAAGTCCCGCCAGGAACACTGCGGGCAACCAGGGAAGCCTTCCCACTCCTGCCTGGGACTTTATGTAAAGCTGATGAGGCGGCAGCTCTTCCAGGTTGCCTGGATATTAAGAACTTGCCATCTTTTACAAATTATGTTATTGTTTGAAGGCTTGTGTATTTCCATAAGGCATCGACATGATTTATGGTTAATTTCCCCTTGATTTTTGTACACAACACCTGCCTTCTTTAAACTTCTGCTCTGCTTTCCCAAGGAAGATTCTCCTTGAGGGAGATACTCAAAGTCAAGTAATGCCCTTTAGAGGCAAGAGCTGGCTGCCCTCCCGCGTGCTACACGCATGCTCAGCTGCCTTCCCCTCACTCTTCTGGACGGTTCTTCTCCTGGTGCCCCGAGGATCTTCCGAGCCTGTCTGGGTTACAGTGGTCAGGGGGAGGGTTAGGCTGGCCCGCGTGTCTTCTCCCTCTGCACTCATTCCGGATAGCAACCTCCCCTTCTGTGAACATGTGATGACCCCCAAGTTTGCATCCCTTGCCCAGGCTCACAGATCTAACTGCCACATCTTTCCCTGGGTGCCCATGGGCATGCCAGTCTCAGCGTGGCCCTAGCAGAATCCACCCCCTTCCCTTCCGCACCCACTCACGGGGGCTGTCCTCCACCTTAGCACATTGTAAAGTCCAGAAACTGGGAGCAACTCTCCACTTCTCCATCATCTTCAGACCTCTGTTCACTCGGCCCACCCTCAGGGACACCTCTGCAGTCCCAGCCATGCTGGAGCCCCCATCCCGGGTCTTCTCAGTGCTTTCAGGGAGCTTTCCCAAGAACACCATTCACAGTTCCAAATTGTACATCTCCATGTGTTAGGATTTGATTCATCCTTTCCCCGCCCCAGTCATATTATAACCTTGGTAGTGGCTGGGACTCTGTGTGCTCACTCACCATTGGACCCTAGCACATACTTTGCCACCCAACTCAATGTACGGCGGCTGAAAGTTTCTGATTGGGCAGGTGGGTGGAGGATGGTGACCTCCTTAGAGAGGGAGGACACAGGAAGAGGAGCATTTCTGGCTGGGAAGAGGCTGAGTCAGTGTCTCTGGGGCACCCATGCGGAGGTGCACCATCTGCGTTTGGCTTACAGGCAGTGGAATCAGAAGGTGGCCCCATATCAGAGGGACGGGAGCCCCAGGTGTGGCTGCAGTCTCCCAGGCAGTGTGTCTGAGGGGAAAGAGGCAGGAGCTTTGGGTGGATAACCCACACTGAAGTGGCAACTGGAGACTGGGAGGGAGTGGCCCTGGCACAGGAGAAAGCCAAGTGGGGGTCTAGTTGTAGGAGCCCAGGGAAGGGTGTTTCGGGGGAGGAGGGCACAAAAGTGGCAAAGGCTGCTGGGTGCTGCACATTTACACTGGGTTTATCTTCAAAGGCCCTATGGTGGCCTATACGGATAGTTTCAGAGCCCAGGGTAGGAAGCCAGGAAGCAGAGAGCTGGTGTATCAGCAGGATGCAAGGAGATAGAGGCAACAGTTTGAGAAGGGGAGAGAGACAGAACATGGGACACGGAGGAACAGGTGGGCTGTGGGTACATTGCCTATCACAGGAAGGAGTTCCTTTTCTGCTGAGATGGCAGGACAGAGATAAAGGTGCCTACAGAGAGATAGAGATTGCTCGGGTTTCGTGACAGAAGACATAAAATGGAAAATTCTGAGGCCTGGAGTGGTGGCTTACACCTGTAATCATAGCACTCTGGGAGGCCGAGGCAGGAGGATTGCTTGAGCCCAGGAATCTGAGGTTGCTCTGAGCTAGACTGATGCCACAGCACTCCAGCCCGGGTGACAGAATAAGACTCTGTTTCAAAAAAATAAAGAAAATTCTCTCAACTTCCTATCTTCTCTCTGAGTTTGGAGGTGAGGTTTGGAGAATGAGGGATGGGGACTCTTGGGGCACAGGTTTGGGAGGGAGGAGAAGGTTTAACTAACACTGCTGAGAGCTGGAGAGTTAGCTGAGAGTTAACGTGTTTAGGAGGAATATGGCTGGAGTAAGGGTGAGTTGTGGATGAAGGCCATTGAAGGCCATTGAAGGCCATGCACTGGTGGTGGCCTATAGGCCTCCTTCAGCTCTTGACTCTCCCTGGGGAGCTGAGGCCGGGAGCCATCTGGAGTTACGGCAGCATGAGAAAGAACGGGGGGACCGCAGGGGTAAGGAGCTGAAGACATCAGCAGGAGCACTGGCATCTTGTAGCATGACATCCACCCAGCAGGAGGGAGAGTGAAGCCAGGAGGGACTGAGTGATTGTGACCCGTTCAGGGGCTACAGAGGGAGGTCTCAACAAGGCCCAGGAGCAGGTGTGGTGGTGTGCTGCAGACTGGAGGGGACTGGAGGCCTTGGGTTCAGTCAGGGCTTGGGTTTAAGACAGGCAGAGTCCTCCTGGGTGAAGAGGAGGTCCAGAGTGGGGACAGGGTGTGAGCCGCTGGAGCAGAGGAGGTGAACTTCATGGTGTTGAGGAGCCCAGGTGTGTCAAGCCAGGAGGCTGGGTGGATGGTCCCTCTTCCTGGGACCTAGTTGGAGGATGGTGAGGGGGTCTCTCAGCCCAGAAGGGAGGAGAAGGCTTTAGGTTGTCTCTCTGCAGTCAGGATAACACACACATGTGCTTAAGATGGAGAGGGGGTTGTTGTTTTGGAAGCCTGGAGGGAGTGGGGTCTGCCCCATCCAGAAGAGGGAGCACAAAGCTGCCAGGTGCCCCAGCTGTCATCGCAAAGGACCCTGTCCACAGGGCATGGCCTGTGTGGCAAGCTTCCCAGAAAGAGGCCAAAAGATCTTCCTTTTATGGGTCTAACTGGGTGCTTTCACTGCTGTACTTGAGAACAGCCAGATGTGGGAAGGGGTTGGAGCACTCACTCACACAAAGTCCACAAATCATTTTCATTTACGTTGCTGGGAAGCTGACCATAATATTACATGTCAAACCCAGAAAGTGTGCCCAAATTCAAAATACTGGTTTATAATCTAATTGTAGCCTTTAATCTAAGGCCTATAGGTTTAATCTAAATCAGGGGCTTTGGTGAGCAGTGGGAAAAGATAACAAATACATGTATATAGTCACAAATGCCAGGGAAAGGCTGAGCTCCACTAAAAGGCTGTTCCAGGGATCTTCATTGTGGCCCCTGGAGACCCCTTCCTTGGGCTGGCTTCTAGCCCCACCCTGAAAGGCTCCCTGACCTTCACATTTCAGAACTTCTGGGCAGTGCAGGAGTTCAGAGAGGGCCCATGGGTGGACACTCAGCCACACCTGGCCCGGGCAGCATTCTGTACATGGTGATGGTCACACTGCCCTCTCCAGTTTCCGGATGCTGCCTGGCCACTCTTTCCCTTCTCCCTCATGCTCCCTGTCCTCAGGTGTCAGCTCTGTTCCATCCCCTCAGGGACCCTCCACCCTCTGTGGCTGGTGGATGCCCTTTTCTTTAAGCCAGAGGGCCTGGTGCCAACTTCTGACACACTGCCTGTCTTTTGTAAGCTCAACATCTGCTGGTGTGTTGGTCTCTTGCACTGACCAGAGAATGGGTC